GGTAAATACAACGCGTGGTAAATATAATGCGTGGTCAATACAACGCGTGGTAGGTGCAACGTGTGGTAAATTCAATGCGTGGTAAATACAACGCGTGGTAAGTACTACGCGCTCAGCCGCTAGCTCGAAGCTGTCGCTCTCGCGTCTGCGCATGCGTAATCCTCGCGCTCTGATTGGTCCGGTGTTTTTCCTTAATAATTCAAAAACGAAGCTTCATACCACATTTTTGCTAAGGGAAATTTTATTCAGAATCACGTCAACTACCCCCCATTTCAGGGACCTACTGTTGTGAGACACCCTGTGTATGCAAGTTCTAAATGCACTTCATTGAATAGATGCATCTGGTAAAATATATATAATGCATTTATAAAATTGTACATGGACAAGTTTCTGAATGTAGTTCATTAAATAGGTGCACCGTAATACACATTAATCACATTGAACTGCTTTTACAAAATTAAATACCAGTAAACATTCAAATGCATCAAATTAAGTAATATACCATGTAAAATACTATAAACAGTTCCACCTAACTGCGTTAATAAAATATCATAAATGTTATAAAGTTCAGCCTAGCAGTAAATTATGAATTAAATAAATTTAATAATCTCTACAGAGCTCTCCCCAAACAGAGTACCATAACTGATCCAACACCATAATTTAACATTGCATGACATAATATTACAAGAATACTATTATTTGTATATTTTATATCACTATGATGCATCTATGCATTCCTGGAACTCATAGTCGCCACCTAAAGTAATTACAGACAAAACCGATCATATGCAGAAGTCAAACAAATCATCCTGATAATAACAGAGCTCCCGAAGCATCGCCACGATTATCCCGTAATTAGTATAGCACATTTCAAACAGCTCATAATTTTCCTGTAACAACCCTCGTTCCACGAATACATAAAAACGATTATTTCTCGTGATAAAACCGACACAGAGCGGTAATGAAGACGTTACTCGATGGTACTTGAAGCAGCCTTACGTAAATCGGTTAAATCGGGGAATTATCTTGTTTCCTGCGTGTCAAACTTTGAACACCCATCGGAGTCAAGGTATAAATGTAGAAACGGGAGATTTGATGGGACACAGTCGATGAAAAAATTCATTCCGGACGAATTTTGTTTTGTTTGTCGATTTGGGAGATAAGGATAAGAGAATTATGAAGTTCCTCGTTGCTGCTACTTGCCTTTTGGCTGCCATGGTAGGTCCATTACGTGCTTCTTTGGATCGATGGATTAATATGTGATTTGGTATTTTAATTTCATTGGAATTTTAATTTGGTATTTTAATTTCGGTCTTGTTAGATTTTTTATTGGGTAGTTGATGTCGTTTGCAAATTTTTTATTTTACAATTTTTGAACTTCGACATTTTTGACATATTTTTGGATTATTAAAAATTCTGGTATTTCTACATTTCTGTAGGGTACTATTTCTGATTGGTAAATTTCTAAATTTCTGTAGGGTACTATTTCTGATTAGTAAATTTCTAAATTTCTGTACAGTACTATTTTTAATTGATAAATTTCTAAATTTCTGTACATTACCATTTTTATTTCTTAAATTTCTAAATTTCTATACAGTGCTATTTTTAATTTACAAATTTCTAAATTACACTATTTGTAAATTTACCTACACAACTTCACAATTTATGGATTTCTAAATTATTTCAAAACTGACACCCTTCTTTTCATGAATTCCTTACTGCCATTGTCACTGATTTTCTCACAAATAATATTTGAATTATTTCTCCATATATTTATCATATCTACACTTCTCAATTAATAATTGAGAGTTTAATATTGAAATATTTATTAGTCAACATATTTATACAAAAGTGGAATATTATTTTCAGACGGTTGTTCGTGGTATGGATCAAGACGCCATCATGGCGAAGTACATGGAGTATTTGATGCCCGATGTGCAACCATGTGCCCAAGAGTTCCATCTTACTGAAGGTATAACTTCCACATTACGAAGCATTAATTCTTCATTAATTAATAAATGTGTTACTATTATTTTACATATAATGTGCTACTATCATGTGTTACATATAATGTGCTACTATTATGTGTTACATATAATGTGCTACTATCATGTGTTACATATAATGTACTACTATTTTGTGTTACACATAATGTGTCACTATTATATGTTTCATATAATGTGTCACTATTATGTATTACACATATGTTACTACACATGTGCACATATCCACATATGAATATTATTTAAATATACAAGTATGCAAAAATAATACTCAAATTGAATACTTCTCCCAAGTTTGCATTTCGTAAAAGAATCTCACGTTTCTAATTAAATTTCAGATGAGGCCAACAACATACAAGCAGCCTCACAAACAGTGGACTTACAGAAATTAGGCTGCATGAAGGCATGCGTGATGCGACGAGTAGGAATGGTACGTACAAGGTGTAACACAAAAAATTTCTTGACGTATCAATGAGTCATTTGTTAATTGCAGCTGACGGGAAGCAATGAGTATCACCTGGAACCCGTGTACAAGATGATAGATGTAATACACGCCGGTAACGATGCTGAAATTCAGTCTGTCAAGAAAATTGCGGACGACTGCCTTGGTGATGGTAAGTAATTAAAACTAATTTACAGAGTGCGTTTACACATAGTGTACACTGATACATTGGTGATACTATCATAAAAAATTGGTATTGAGTTATTTTACAAAATTGATATTGACTGTATACGATCGAGTCTCGGTACTTCCCTGCGCTGGGGGCTCTGGAGCACTTTGAAATTTTACTATATACGATTCTGTAAAAAGTAGCAAATGATTTTTGCGTTGATAAGAGAATCTAAGGAAAAAGTTCAAATCACAAACAATGAAATGAAAGTTTAATTCACAATTATATAAAGTTATTGAGATAATTTGTTACAATACTTACGAGATATATTTTTTTTATAGCTACTGGAGAGTCTGATGAATGCATCGCCGCCAACAAGTACACCGATTGTTACATAAAGAAGCTTTTCAATTAAATAAGTTAAGTTATTAAAAGTTGCACTTCAAAGGCTGCAAATTTAATGACAGTTTTATACTTGTGAGCCGAGTAGTATTCAATAAAATAATGTAAAAGTGTATGCTTCCGATTTGCTGCTTTATGACAATTTTTGATTCCATGCATTGTGAATTCCATGCGTTGTGAATTCCATGCATTGTGAATTCCATGCGTTGTGAATTCCATGCGTTGTGGATTCCATGCGTTGTGAATTCCATGCGTTGTGGATTCCATGCGTTGTGAATTCCATGCGTTGTGGATTCCATGCGTTGTGAATTCCATGCGTTGTGGATTCCATGCGTTGTGAATTCCATGCGTTGTGGATTCCATGCGTTGTGAATTCCATGCGTTGTGGATTCCATGCGTTGTGAATTCCATGCGTTGTGGATTCCATGCGTTGTGAATTCCATGCGTTGTGGATTCCATGCGTTGTGAATTCCATGCGTTGTGGATTCCATGCGTTGTGAATTCCATGCATTGTGAATTCCATGCGTTGTGAATTCCATGCATTGTAAATTCCATGCGTTGTGAATTCCATGCGTTGTGAATTCCATGCGTTGTGGATTCCATGCGTTGTGAATTCCATGCGTTGTGAATTCCATGCATTGTGAATTCCATGCGTTGTGAATTCCATGCATTGTGAATTCCATGCGTTGTGAATTCCACTCTTCCTAATTCCACGCGCTCTAAATTCCCCACATCGCGATTTCACATCTTGTAATTCCATGCATTGTGAATTCCACTCTTCCTAATTCCACACGCTCTAAATTCCCCACATCACGATTTCACATCTTGTAATTCCACGCACTGTTAACTCCACGCTCCCTAAATTCCACGCACCGTGATCTTACACGATGTAACTCCTCGTTATAATTTCACGGGTTGTGAATTCAATGCGTTGTACTATTCGTTATTCATAACTTTTCCCATTTTATTCGTTGTAGTCTTCTTAGTTTTCGTTGCAGTCCTACCAGTTCTCATTGCAGTTCTACCCATCGCAATTCCACGCGTTACATCGCCTCGCGCAATATTACAATTTCCCCACATTGTAGCTCCCCGATCTACACCCATCAATTTCATCAACCATAAATCTACCCTGCAACGCCTCGCATTATATCGCCACGCATGATAATACTGCACGCATCGATGAACACGAATGCGATCTTTTTCATGAGTGTCCGTTTAAGAATTCCACGGGTCGTCAAAGCGATTTCTTCGGAAATGCAACTACCGAGTGTAATCGGTCGCAAAGCCGACCATTTGCAAAAGTGTCTCAACGCGTCTGTTCGTCGTAGGGGACGGCCATAACTTTATCCCATGGTGTATGCGAGGCAACTTCGACCATTACCGGCTACATTATACCGCCTCGCAACGTGAGCCGCTTACGTTAACGCGATACCCGCCTCGTCGTTCTGCCGCGAGCTGAATGCTCTGAAAATGTGCTGCAACTCGTGCAGACAATTTTCTGCCTCACAGGACGACAAGTGCTGCATGCCACGCTGATGAACTCTGCCGCTGAGTGAACATACCTCTTCCGCGTTCTTCTTAATTCGATAAATTATTGGGTCATTACGGGAATTTACGAATATTTGCTTTGGAGATGTCGCAGGAATTTTTGGCGTTAAAATAATTGTCGTTCTTTGGGAATTTGTTTGGTGCGTTTAAATATTGCGCCGTGGAAAGGGCGGGAAAGTAGTCGTATTTGAAATTTTTTAGAAATTGTTATTATATTGTAAATTGTTGTTGTGCTGTTGTATGATAAATTGTTACAAGAGGAAGGCTAGTAAAAATATGCGATTTTTGTTAAATTGATCATTGGTTTATTAGTACTCCTTTTAAACTTCCCGCCACAGAAAAGGCGGGAAAGTGTTCAGATTCAAAATTGTCTTACATGTTGCATCCAATATTGTATATCTAACAGATATTCCGAATAAATAATATTAAAAGAGATGTATACGTCGTTATTTTTATCAAACCAATCATTTAATAACATGATTAATATTCCTATAACTCTCCCATTACAAACCGCCATAAAAAAAGCGCGAACGCACTAAAATTTGAAATTGAAGTACATGTTTCACTACTATAATTTAACTGTTACACAATAAATATTAATATAAATGCACATGTAATTATTTTTCCGAGTCTTAAGCTCCATGTATCATTTTTTGATATATTTATATGATGACACATAAGATACGATGATCCTGGTACGATGCACATTTAATGTCTCGTAAAATTTATGTAGTTCGTTGATGATCCTTTTAAGGTTCAGTATTTCTGAGAGCGGACCGTACAGTTTCATTAATAAGAATGAGATTAAGCAGCGTGCGATTCCAGGGCATCACGCAGACACCGTCGGCTTATGAATAAACAAAGGGACGTTAACGCGTTATGAATAATTAAACTACACTCGAGACGCGGACGCTGCGTGCATTTCAACGGGGAAACCGCTGCTTTATGACCACCTAGTATATGTACGACTGAAAAGTGTTCGAATCTTTTAAATTAACTTTGCGTTTGTTTCAAATTACTGGGAACTTGATTAATGAATTTCGTGACAGAAAAGTATTGCAAAATGGTGCTTATGGTATGTGAATGCAAAGCTTAAAGTATGAGGAAAATGATGATGTGAGGGACTCATACATATTCGTTACACAAAATGGCTGCCGGTTGATTGCAACGAACGACATTTTTAGAAAACATGAATTTTTAATTTTTATGAAGCATAGATTCGAATAAAATTTCATGACATAAAAGTATCACAAAATGGCACTTGTGATACATGAATATAAAGCTTGAAGTATCAGGAAAATGATGGTGTGAGGGACTCATGGATATTCGTAACACAAAATGGCTGCCGGTTGATCGCAACCAACGACATTTTTAAAAAACACGAATTCTTAATTTTTATGAAGCATAGATTCGAATAAAATTTCATGACATAAAAGTATCACAAAATGGCACTTGTGATACATGAATATAAAGCTTGAAGTATCAGGAAAATGATGGTGTGAGGGACTCATGGATATTCGTAACACAAAATAGCTGCCGGTTGATTGCAACCAACGACATTTCTAAAAAACACGAATTCTTAATTTTTATGAAGCATAGTTTCGAATAAAATTTCATGACATAAAAGTTTCACAAAATGGCGCTTATGCTACATCAATATAAAGCTTGAAGTACCACAAAAATGATCGCATAAACATATCCTCAATATTCCCAACACAAAATGGTTGCCATTCAATTGCAACAAACAACTTTCCTACGAAATATAAATTCAACCAAAATTTCATGACACAAAAGTATCACAAAATGGCGCTCATGTTACACGAAAATAAAGCTTGAGGTATTACAAAAATGATGCTGTAAACATTTCGACAGTGTTCTTAATATAGAATGATTGATGGTCAAAAAAAGCAATGTCCAATTTCGAAACGTATGATTACATGACACAATCAGAAACTTATTTAACATTTCGCTGACTAATTTGATTTTGGTACCACGTGCTGCAAGCAACAATATACAGGAAAATTTTTAAAGGTTTGTCAATTGTTGGTAAGTTCGAGACCATCACACAAATATAAAATGAGCTGCGCTACAATTTGGTGCAGTTTCCAAAATATTCTGAGAAAGCACGTTCCTCGTTTAATTTTTCAGTGACGAATGATGAAGTTCGTGGTTCTTTGTCTTCTTATCAGCGTGAGTGTTTCTGTGTCTATTAAATATTTTATTCGAATAGTTTACTAACTAATATTTTATAGTAACAATTATAATAAAGTAATATAGTAACAATAATTAAGTTTCTGAATATCCTCCAAGTTTTTGATTTGAACGAAAGTTAAGCTTAATGAGAAAATGGAGGATCTTCGACGGAGACTAATGGAATCTTGTTGTTGGAAAAATTACTAGGGCGTGCATTCGGGTTTCGCTGGAGAAAATTGGAAGAGCTTGTTAATTATTTATAGAAAAAGTTCCCAGCTAATTCGAAACGATTACACTTTCAGACGCTTTTTAATTGTACGATATTGGAAAGTAATTAATTGAATGTCCATTGCAGGTGACTCGAGCGCTCGAGGTAGAACTAATTTCGAGAGTAATGGACGTGCCATTGAACGAATTAGCGGAATGTTTGCGAAATAACAATTTATCTGCAGGTACTGCAAAATAACAATGCAATCATGTAAAATTAATGGATCTCACTTCAACGCTTATGAATTAGTTTTAAATAATTATTTACAGTAACTAACATAAATATTATTATAACAAATAAAAGGACATTAGATTTAATAATAATTGTTATCGTTAACAGAAAAATTCGATAAATTCTACTAAATAATTATTTTACACAAATCCTTAGGTTGCTATTTTCTACCAATTTTATTTGTGTGTGTTTTTTTTTAATCACTACAGAGGACGTAGAGAATTTGGAAAATATGTTCAATGAAGACCAAACATCGAGAGAATATTCCTCCAATTTTGGTTGTTTCGTTACATGTGTCTTCGAAAAATCGAATATCGTAAGTAGAATATCTTATGTGAAATTTAAGAATATTTAATTATTATAAAATTATTTCAGATACAAAATAACGAGATCCAGCTAGACAGGTTGATCGCATTGGCTAAACGCAATAAGTTCAATATTACAGCGGCGATTAAACAAAAATTAAATGAGTGCATTAACGAAGGTAAATTATTCAAGTTTTATTATTAATTTCTTTTAAAGTTTGACTTCCCTGTTGCATTTTCGTGAAGAAATAATCAAACTTGCATTAAGAAAATTTTGTTTAACATGTCGAAAGATCTTCTTTGATACTTCTGTTGTATTTTAAGAAATTTGTCAAAACAATAAACAAAGTATCTCGTTAACGGAACTTATATAATCAAAATTAGTCAGAACCGAACAAAACTGTTCGAATTCTTAGACTTCACGGAATTCATTTAATTAAACGAAAACTATTAATATTCGCAAACATGTTTACTTAATAATGAAAACAAACATGGATGTAAATAGACTTCGGAAAATCCGTGAAAAGGTAAAAATATGTTTGTTGACAATTAATTAAATTGTTGCAGCCGAAGAAGAAGATGACAAGTGCAAGATTGGACTCGTTTTTACTTCCTGTGTGATGCGAAAACTTCGACAATGATTTTGTTAAAGAATGTTACAGAATTCTTTTTTTGTGAATACAATTGCAAAATGTGGAAGACTGTAACCTGTTTCTTTTGAAATAATAACTTTTCTATACTAAAAGCTTTAGGTTTTTTTATTACATTAAATATATATCTTTGTGGGAGAGTATTTATTTTTATGTTCCAAAGGATGTACAAACCCAGGATTACTTTAAGTATTTTTATCTTTTATCTTTAAGTGTCAGATTACTTCAAGCATCTTTATCTTTTGCCTTTAAGTATCAAATTACTTCAAACATTTTTATCTTTTACCTTTAAATATCAAATTACTTCAAGTATCTTTATCTTTTACCTTCAAGTATCAGATTACTTCAAGCATTTTTATCTTCTACCTTCAAGTATCAAATTACTTTAAGTAGCCTTATCTTTTACCTTCAAGTATCAGATTACTTCAAGTATCTTTATCTTTTGCCTTCAAGTATCAGATCACTTTATCTTTTACCTTCAAGTATCTCAAGGTAAAAGATCCTTTGCAAGGATCTCAAAAGGAACACTTACAATCTACAATAATAACTGACTCAATAATTTCAATTAGAAAACAAATTTAATTTCCGCAATTAAATAAGAAGATAACACAAAAAAGTCATTATATAACAATTAATAATATCATAACAACAGTTATCTAATACACCGAAAAATGGATGCATCACCCATTCAAATACTTCCAATTTTTCTATTAGTTCTTATTTATGAGTAACGCTGCATCCGCGGATGTGACCTTATCTTGTATCTTTAACCTTCAACCGCGATTCAGTTCGATATAAATAAAGCAGGCCAAACATGCGATCTTAGTTAAACAAATTTCGTCCACGGAATAAGTCGAGTGCATTTCAAGATCAGTAAATTATATTATATTTGTAGCCTGTGAATTAAGAACCATGAAGACTACAACGTTATTGGTGCTAGTGGCCGTAGCATTTGTAAGTACCTATACATTTAGTGGAATTTACTGCAAGAATGCAGAATTGTTAAATAAAGTTTGCATCATGCTATGCATTTTTTGGAAAGGAAGATTAACGGAGTTTATCGGAAATAATTGTGTGCAGAATGACTTGATCTGTGTCATAACTATGATGTGTGGTTTTAGATAATAAGGTACTGCGCAAATTGAGGGAATGCGTTTTGGTTTTGGGGATATGGAGATTTAGGGATTTAGGTTTGGGAATTTGGGGATTTGGGAATTTGGGGGTTTGGGGATTTGGGGATTTGGGAATTGAGGGAATTGGGAATTAGGGGATTTGGGAATTGAGGAATTTGGGAATTGGAGGATTTGGGAATTGGGGGGTTTGGGAATTGGGGAATTTAGGAATTAGGGGATTTGGGAATTGGGGGATTTAGGAATTAGGGGATCTGGGAATTGGGGGATTTGGAAATTGGGGGATTTGGGAATTGGAGAATCTGGGAATTGGGGGATTTGGGAATTGGGGGATTTGGGAATTGGGGGATTTGGAAATTGGGGGATTTAGGAATTAGGGGATTTGGGAATCGGGGGATTTGGGAATTGGGAGATTTGGGAATTGGGGGATCTGGGAATTGGAAGATCTGGGAATTGGGGGATGTGGGAATTGGGAGATTTGGAAACTGGGGATTTGGGAATTTGGAAATATGGGAATTTGGGAATTTGGGAATTTGAGAATTTGGGAATTGGGGGATTTGGGAATTGGGGGATTTGGAAATTGGGGCATTTGGAAATTGGGGGATTTGGGAATTAGGGGATTTGGGAATTTGAGAATTTGGCAATTTGGGAATTTGGAAAATTGGAAAATTGGAAAATTGGGAATTTGGGAATTTGGGAATTCGGAAATTTGAAAATTTAGAAACATGTATGCTGGTCAAAAATCCACAAAACCAAATATATCTCTAAAAACGTCTTAAATATATAAAGTTTGAAATATCCTAAATATGTTACCTTCCCTAAGATGTACTTTAAGATGCTCTTATTCTGTTCCAGATGACTGTTCAAGCAGACCAGCAAGGATTCGAACCAAGAGTGGGAATGATAATGTTTTTATCAAAGGCTTTTCGTATCAGTTTGCTAGACACTGAGAAGTGTGTGAATAAGACGGGCGCATCAATAGGTAGATTTACTATATTCTCTATTAACGTAAGAACCTAACCTAACCTGACTAAATCTGACCTAATAATACATAACGAAATTTATTTAACTTTAACTTATCTAACAACTGACTTAACCAATATAAATATCTATTATAAAATAACATAACTAAAAATGATCTGATTAAAAATTACCTAACCTCATCTAACTTTGACTAACCTAACCTTATTTCAACTCAATGAAATTTAATTTAGCTTAATCTAATTTAGTTTAACTTAACAATATTTATTAATTAATTAAATTTATTAATTGGGGGATTTGGGAATTGGGGAATTTGGGAATTGGGGGATTTGGGAATTAGAGGATTTGGGAATCGGGGGATTTGGGAATTGGGGGATTTGGGAATTGGGGGATTTGGGAATTGGGGGATTTGGGAATTGGGGGATTTGGGAATTGGGGGATTTGGGAATTGGGGGATTTGGGAATTGGGGGATTTGGGAATTGGGGGATTTGGGAATTGGGGGATTTGGGAATTGGGGGATTTGGGAATTGGGGGATTTGGGAATTGGGGGATTTGGGAATTGGGGGATTTGGGAATTGATTTGGGAATTGGGAGATTTGGGAATTGGGAGATTTGGGAATTGGGGAATTTGGGAATTGGGGGATTTGGGAATTAGGGAGTTAGGAATTGGGGAATTTGGGAATTGGGGGAGTTGGGAATTGGGAGATTTGGGAATTGGGGGATTTGGGAATTGGAGGACCTGGAAATTGTTGGATCTGGGAATTGGGGGATCTGGGAATTAGGGGATTTGGAAATTGGGGAATTCGGAAATTTAAAAATTTAAAAACATGAATGCTTGCCAAAAATCCAAAAATCAAAATTACAGTAAAAATTTTTTAATGTAATCCATTTAATTAACTTGTGAAACCATGTTTCTTTTTTCAGACGATTTGGCGCAATTGGAACAAGATGTAAACGAAGCCACTTATGACTGTACTAAGGCGAGTACAAGAAGAATGACTTGTGCTATGGTTTGCTGTGCTCATATTCAAGGATCGGTAAGTTCATTGAAAAATCTATATTTATTGATTGCTCATACTGATTTATTTGTATTGTTTTCAGATGGTCAATGGTACGATCAACATGCCGTTCGTTAATAATCTAATAACTGAATCGGGAATGCCGGAATCTGCGCTGGCTGTACTCGTTCCAATTTTCCATTGGTGCCACGACAGAGGTTTGTACAACAATTTATTTCAAATTATAACAAAATTAGTTAACAACTAAACAAATCAATGTGCAAGATTTCAAAAATTTATCATTTACTTTCGAACTGTTCTCCTTTATGATTTAACTCGATAATTAAACGATTTCATTGCATAAGATGAACGTTATCTCTGTCTGTTTCAGTGAAACTTCTTACCGACGCGTGTGATGTAGGTTGCATCTTCCTCGAGTGTATGGTAGCTAACACAAAATATATAGGAATGTAAATAGAGTCTATCAAGATAATTTTATTAAATGCAATGAGAAGAACAAATTTTTGAAAAGATGACACTGTTAGGTATTTGTAATAAAAACTCTTTGGTGGATGATATAAAAATTGCATTTCTGAATTTCTGGATTCCTAGATTTCTGGATTTCTGGATTTCCGGATTTCTGGATTTCTGGATTTCTGAATTTCTGGATTTCTGGATTTCTGGATTTCTGGATTTCTGGATTACTGGGTTCCTAGATCCCTAAATTCCCAGATCCCTAGATCCCTAGATGCCAAAAGTTCCTAGATTCCAAAATATCTGGATCGAAACACTTCAAGATCCAAAAGTCCCTAGATCCAAAAATTCCAAGATCCAAAAGTCTCTAAGATCCCAAAATCCCTAGATCCCTGAATCCCTAGATCCCAGAATCCCTAGATCCCAGAATCCCTAGATCCCAGAATCCCTAGATCGCAGAATCCCTAGATCCCAGAATCCTTAGATCCTCGAATCCCTAGATCCCTAAATCCCTAGATCCCTATCTCCCTAGATCCCAAAATCCCTAGATCCCAAAATCCCTAGATCCCAAAATACCTAGATCCCAAAATCCCTAGATCCCTAAATCCCTAGATCCCTAAATCCCTAAATCCCTAAATCCCTACATCCCTAAATCCCTAAATCCCTAAATCCCTAAATCCCTAAACCCCAAAATCCCAAAATCTCTAAATTCCCCAGACACCCAAATTTCTACATCCCTGCATCCCCACATCTCTAATTTAACATATTCCGAGAAGCGTCAAAAGAAATCACTAAATACATTAACTCGAACAATTCACAAATTCATCATTGAACAACGCAAACTTCTCGAAATTAAACACCGCGTATTCATTCATCGTATTCAAGTGTACGCGCTTGTTTCGAGCATCGTTCAATTAAGAGCAATTAAGTCTCCTCTTGAAATAAGAAGAAAGAAACACGAGTGTACGAACGAAACACCAGCGATTACGATTGGAGGACTACAAAACATAATGATCAAACACGTACAACTTACATATGTGTGTACTTTTGTTATGAGTCTCAATTAAATTTCGGAATAGTTATACTTTTCATTCTTTTGTACTACATTGGTAACTTTCATCGTGTCATAAAAGAATTCCATACAAGAAGACTATTTATACAATAATCAGAAGATGTCCGTACAGTGTACACGCCACAAGATAAGTTCTGGTAATACCAGAACTCAATGAGTTCAGTATACGAAGAAAAATGTAGCTTCAATTGATCAACACTAAAAACAAGTATCCTTTAAAATATTAATATAACTTGAAAGGAGATACAAACAATTAGTTACAGTTGTCACCCACCAAAAGAAGAAATTCCATCAGAACATGTGGAATCAAAAAGCTCCAAAGCTCATCTTGCATCGTGGCACAAGCGCATGATATCGTGATCGGGTGTAAACTCGATTATAAAAGCATACTATCGTTCGCAGACGTATTCCAATCCCCGTGTATATAAGTACACGTATCCGTGGATACGCACGGTGTGTCGTGGAAGCCTTTATAGAGCCAGACAACTCGATTGAATTATAGTAACAGAGTTATCCGTCACTCGGCGCGCGGGGGCGGGCCAACGGCTAAACACTAAGTCTCAACGGGATCTAAACTGATTTCCAACGTATTTGAGGGAAATGAAACGCGTCTGAAGCAAGATCGATGGAAACGGAGAAGTTTCCTCTCGCTACCTTGCCTAACCATTTACGCTTATCTTGCTCGTTTTATGTACCTCCACCTCGGACGGGTCTGAATTGCTCTGGAATTTGATGTAGGTACTTTAGCTGCGAACTCTGGATACTTAACTTTATTTAGTTCGGTTGGACTACTTTATTTAGATCGACTGGATAGGTGCATTTTGGGGGATTTGGTGCTTTGTTAATTTGGGGTGAGGTGTGTGAAGGATTTGTGGAGGATTTGAGAGGTTAGGACGGGTGGTTCACGTTTTGTGGAGGATTTGGTGAGTTTGGGAATCTGTAATGGGGATAGGATGGAATAAGTCACTTTTTGTGGAGGATTTGGTCATTTTGGGAGGTTAGGCTAGGATAAACTCACATGGTGAGGAGGATGTGATTATCTTGTGAGGTTAGACTAGGATAAGTTCACATGTTGTGGAGGATTTGATGATTTTGGTAGCCTTTACTAGGTATAGGGTAGAACAAGTCACATTTTGTGAAGGATTTGGTCATTTGGACAGCTTGGGCTGGGTTAAGTTAACATTATGTGGAGGATTTGATCGTCCTACCAGGTTAGACAAGGATACGTTCACAGTATGTGAAGGATATGATCATCATATGAAGATGGGCTAAGATGAGTTCACATTATCTGAAGGATATGATCACCATATAAAGTTGAGTTAGTACAAGTTCACATATACATTAAAATTCGAACAATGACCGCAACGAGACTAACTTAAAGCCCCATACCTCAAATCCTGTCCCTAGTTCTGAACCTCAGATCCTTCCACATGATCAGAAAGGTAGAATCGAAGTTCTTCCAGATTCCAGTTCATTAGCAGTCGAGTGGCTCTATCGTAGTTCACTCGCATAGTAAATAATGCAGCGCGACACCTGGTACATCGTGTACATCATGCGTCCACGTACGCACGGCAGCGCACGTGTACACACACGAGGCTCGCACGTAATGTATGCATAATGTATATACGGCTGTCGTGCACAGGCTCAATACCGGCGTTGCATCGCTTTCTATATATCACGTTAAGCTGCTGCATTCGCGACTGCATTCTACGCTTGCACCGGCTGCGAACCGAGGGCTGTGTCGAGAATTCGAAAAAGGGAGGAAATATGGAGTGGGTGGCTTTAATCGCGTTCATTTGTGCCATCTTGAACGGTCATTTCTCTCTTAGCTTTCGCAAATTGCGAGCTGCAATATTTTTGAAACCTTGCTTTAGTCTAAAATGAAATTTAAAGTCCCTGTCAAGTTTGAAAATATAAAGATGACGTTCATGATGAAGTCTAAAGTCCCTGTCAAGTTAGAAAATATAGAGATGACGTTCATGATGAAGTCTAAAGTCCCTGTCAAGTTAGAAAATATAAAGCTGACGTCCATGATGAAATCTAAAGTCCCTGTCAAGTTTGAAAATATAAAGATGATGTCCATGATGAAGTCTAAAGTCCCTGTCAAGTTAGAAAATATAAAGATGACGTCCATGATGAAATCTAAAGTCCCTGTCAAGTTAGAAAATATAGAGATGATGTCCATAATGAAATCTAGAGTCCCTGTCAAGTTAGAAAATATAAAGATGACGTTCATGATGAAGTCTAAAGTCCCTGTCAAGCTAAAAAATATAAAGATGATGTCCATGATGAAATCTAAAGTCCCTGTCATGTCACAAAATCTTTAGTCCCTGTCACATGACAAAATCTTAAATCCCTGTCACATGACAAAATCTTAAGTCCCTATCACATGACAAAATCTTAAGTCCTTGTCACATGACAAAATCTTAGATCCCTGTCAAATGACAAAACCTTAAATCCTTGTCACATGACAAAATCTTAAATCCTTGTCACACGACAAAATCTTAAATCCTTGTCACACGACAAAATCTTAAATCCTTGTCACATGACAAAATCTTAGGTCCCTGCCAAATGACAAAATCTTAAATTCCTATCACATTAAAAATATAAAGATGATGTCCGTAACAAACTCTTAAGTTCCTGTCACATTACAAAATATAAAAATGTGCACATAAAATCTAAAGTCCCTATACAACAAGTCCCAAAATATAAAGATGTGAATGATAAAATCTAGCAACACCTCATCTCATCCCAGAGGTATGAAATAATTACAAAGGCAATTGAATCGAACAATACGTAAGTGAGAAACGACGACAGGCGACGAAAGGCCAGTGTCGTAATAATAGAGATACACAAGGTGGTAGAACGGCCTGATAATTCGAGAATAATTCGCTGTTGGCGCCTATCGTGCACGTTGATCAACGTTGCGAGCTGCTTTATGGAAGAACACTCGTTCTTCGGTCACGTAGGATCGTCGGGTTCACGAGGGAATTCCAGCGATGCTAATTTCATCGTAGAATTCCGGAATTCCGGCCGCCATTCTGGCCATGGGGTTACGGAGTTATATTAACCACGTTTCCGGAGACGTTCGATTAGCCACGGAATCGAAACAATTTCGGTAATAACGACGGATGCTGATGCACTGGTACGATATTACCTATTATATCTGTAATTAGATTCCGATCGATTACCTCAACACTTCCTATGAACAAGAATCTGATGCTAGGACAAAATGAACTCTTCATGAATTTTTGGAAGGATTTTCTAAAATTGAATCTCCTCAATCATTTTATTATATTGAACCTATTTGATCAATTTAAAATATTGAACTTATATGATGTTTCTGAAATAAACAATTTTTCTAAGAACTTCAGAATGTAGAACTAGTTTAATTATTTTCTAGTAGTGAATTTATGTGATGTATTTAAAATAATTCATTTTTATAGCAAGTGTATGATGTTGGAGTTAATTAACCAATTTATGATATTGAATTTATATGATATTTTCGAAATAATAAAATTTTTTGAAAACTTCATAGTATTGAACTTGTTCAATTATTTCCTAATAGTGAATTTGTATGATGTATTTAAAATAATTTATTTTTATAGCAAGTATATGATGTTGGACTTGTTTAACTAATTCATGATATTGAATTTATATGATGTTTTTGAAATAATCAATTTTTATGAGAACTTCCTAATATTCAACTAGTTTAATTATTTTTTAGTAGTGAATTTATGTGATGTATTTAAAATAATTCATTTTTATAATAAGTGTATGATGTTGGAGTTAATTAACCAATTTATGATATTGAATTTATATGATGTTTTTGAAATAATAAAATTTGTTGAAAACTTCATAGTATTGAACTAGTTTAATTATTTTCTAATAGTGAATTTATGTGATGTATTTAAATTAATTTATTTTTATAACAAGTATATGATGTTGGACTTATTTAACTAATTTATGATATTGAATTTATATGATGTTTTTGA